ATGTGGGCAGCAGCATTTTTCAAGGGGGCAGCACAGCCCCCCCAAAAGAAGGGATGGAATAAGAGACACATGCAGCATGGGGACCAAGTGGGATCTGAGAGAGGCTGCAGGCTGCTTTATGGTGCTTGCAGAGCATGACTCTTGTTCCTGGGGATGTCCTGAGCTGTGGTGGCATTTTTCAGGGGGGGCAGCAGCAACTTTCACGGGGGCAGCAGCATTTTTCAAGGGGGCAGCACAGCCCCCCAAAAGAAGGAATGGAATAAGGGACACATGCAGCATGGGGACCAGGTGGGATCTGAGAGAGGCTGCAGGCTGCTTTATGGTGCTTGCAGAGCATGACTCTTGTTCCTGGGGATGTCCTGAGCTGTGAAGGTGAATGTTTTGTCTCTCGTGGGGGGGGGTTGCCAGTGTATGGGGGGCAGTGGTATTGGAAGGCTCTCTTGGGTGGGGGGGCTGGGGTGTTGCTGATCAATGTCAGGCTCTCTTCATGGGGGAGGGGGGCATTGGTCAGTGTCAGGGTCTCTCCGTGGGGTGGGAAGCAGAATTTTGTGTTGCCTAGGGCAGCATGAAACCTAAATACATCACTGGATGAAGTATATACATGTCTTTACTTCTAATGATTCAGATAACAATAAGGGGCATTCCTGGTGTGGGCTCTTCTTTCTTCTAACCTTGATATGGGGATGTCTCCTGGAGTATAGTGGTGGTCAGTGGCAGACTGACAACTCATGGGGCCCCCGGGCAATAAGGGATCATGGGGCCCCAGTGTCCTTGCCCACACTCAAAGTACACCCAAAGAAAGCCTATAAAAGGTACCAGGGGTATTTCATGGGGCCTCCTACTGACCCTGGGCCCTTGGGCAGTGCCCGAATGCTCGAATGGTCATTCTGCCCCTGGTGGGGGTTCATCGTTGTAAGTCTTGAAGCAGGTGTTCAGATAACTTTTCGCAAGTATCAGTTAAGCCAGGACAAGCTTACCCCACAGGCTTCCCCACATTCAAGGGAGAGTAACATAGTTCGCTGGATTTGACGTGGGAACACATTGGATGCCTTCAGCTGCCATTGTGTTCTTGCTGGGCATCCAGTGTGTCCCTGTTATTTAAAGTGGTTAAAAAGGTTGAAGGCCTGAAGTCATGAAGGTAAAAAAACCTTCTGTGTGCTACTCCCCCCCCCCCCCCACAGCCCACCATAAAAGTCACCTGAGCCCCCTCTGAATCCAGCGGGGTGCATGGGAGCCTTGGCTGTCCCAGGTCTCCCTCTCCTCATTATCTGAGACAGCAGCGGAGGGTAGGGTTGCCACTTCATCTCTTTAAACCCAAACACATAATAATTACACAGATTCTGAGGCTAATTTAATGCAGACAAGGCACTGAGTTTAATTACCACCTTAATCAGCCACAGAACCTGTGTAATTAATATGTGTTCGGGTTTAACCACTTGCCATCTGCCTGCTGTTTATAAACGGCAGGGCGGTGGCACTCCAGGGGCGGGTTGCCGTTCATAAACGGCACCCGCCTTTTCTAGCTGTGCGCGCTCCCTGGGACACAGTGAAACACCAATCGTCGGACGGGACCTCTGTACGAGGTCCCGATCATGTGATCACTAATTGGCCAATCAGTGATCACATGCAAAGTAGTAAGCAAGATGTCACTTGTGACATCATTGCTTACTACGTGTGAAATCTATGAATGATCACAGAGGTCACATGGTACAAGGCTATTCACAACAGCCTTGTACCATGTCAAGGACAAGGTGTGACCAATCACAGCTCACTCAGTATTTCTCAATGGCTGCAAGAATGCAGACAGAGAGAAAGAGAAATGATTGCTTTTACATCCTATATGGGTGTAAAAGCAATCACTATAAAAAAAAATTAAAAAAAAATCTTCATCACCCCCCACAAGTAGTACAGTGTCACCATGCTGACACTGTACTGCTAGGGTGACAGTATGTAAAAAAAAAAAAAAAAAAAACAAACAAACCATAAATAATAATATAAAAAATAAAATAAAAATGTAAAAAAAAATGTTTAAAAATTATAATTTTTGGTTATAAACTAATTTGGCTTATTTTTTTTTTTTACTAAAAATATAAAGGAATACATTTTGGTCAAGATTTATGATGAAAGATTATTTATTTGCTAAATTTTATAAGAAAAACACTTTTTTTTCAAAATTTTTGGACTTTTTCATTTACATAGCAAAAAAAATAAAAATCCCAGCGGTGAATAAATACCACCAAAATAAAGCTTTATCTGTCTCAAAAAAATGGTAAAAAATTAATATGGGTACAGTATTGCATGACCGCGCAATTGTCATTCAAAGTGTGATAGCGCTGAAAGCTGAAAATTGCCCTGGACAGGAAGGGGGTTAAAAGTGTCCGGACAGGAAGTGGTTAAAGGGATGAGGTGGCAACCCTAAGTGGGAACCATTGGCTCCCAGCTCTATCAACCACAGCCTGTAAGCCAATGAGGAGAGAGTGGAGGGCAGGGCCGAGCCAAGGCTCTATGTGTCTTATGTATGCATATAGCCGGGCTTGGGAGTGAGCATGTATCAGTTCCCCCATAGCAGGCGCCTGCTATTGGGGGCACTGGTCAAAGGGGCCAGGAGTGCCAGCAGGGGACCCGAGAAGAAGAGAATTAAAGCTGGTCTGTGCAAAACCATTGCAAATAGCAGGTAAATAAAACATGATTTTTTTTTATTTTAAAGCCAAACCTTTAATGTCACTTTAAAGGAGAGGTGGGCTCCCTGCAGGCAAACCTGTCTTAATTTATCCACTGCTATATATGCTCCAACTCTCAAAAATAGAGAGTTAGTATACAGAGGAGCCTTGACGTGGAAACTATGGCTTCCACCTATATTAGCAAATGTGTGCAACGAAACGCTTTGTTTTTACAGTGACTTGTTAGACAGGGTCATTTTGGTGTGATTGCAGACTAGCTGGTACGTGTGCTGGGAAAATGTCTGTTTGAGAGTAGCATAGTTCCCTTGCAGGGGCAGACTGACCATTTGGAAACTCGGGCACTGCCCGAGAGCCCGGGGTCAGTAGGGGACCCCATGAGATGCCCCTGTACCTTTTTCATAGGCTTTTTTGAGTTTGGGCAAGGACATAGGGGCCCCATGATCCCCTATTGCCATGGGCCCCATGAGTTGTCAGTCCGCCCCTGTTCCCTTGCCAAGATAAGGTCACTACCTCTGGGTCCAGGTGGGAACCAATAGAATGGAAGCACAAAAGGCCAAATTTGGCCAGAGTTTGAGGATAACACCACTGACCCTATCAGCCAGAAGAAGTCTAGTAACAGGCTGCAAACGGCCTGAGGGTCATAGTTTGGAGTCACCTGATCTATACAAAGAAAAGTAGACAGTATTTCATGACACTCTATTGTAAAGGGCCAGTCCATTCAAAACTGATATTTCAATTCTTGGCAGATGCTAGAGCAAAAAAAAACAATCAGCTTCCAGTTTTTTTGTCAAATCCTAATTGAACGAGCTGAAGTTAGAATCTAATTGGCTACCATGCACAGCAGCTCCAGATTTTGCAGTTTGAGTAAGGACGGCCATACATGGGTGGAAATTCGACCGATTTTTCGTCCGAAAACTGGACCTAAGAATAATCGGACGATTTTCGCTCTGTTAGTGGGTCAATGGCACTGGACGATTTTCATGGTTCCTCCCCTTTTCGGTGATCGGGCTTGTTGGAAAATTCATGAAAAACAACCAATTTTCGACTCAATGATGGTCAAGTCGTACAATCTTTTTTCCCGAAAAAGAATATGCGAATGAGCCGTGACCTGGAAGGAACAGCAGTTTCACCTGTTATATGGGGTGAACTTTATGACTTGGTCGACCGATTTTTGAAATCATTGATGGCACCATCGGATTACCGAGTGAACAACGTTTTCGATATTTGGACAAAAAATCGTTCGGAATTTGGACCATGTATGGCCTGCATAAATCCAGTTGTAGTAAATCAACCCCACTGTGTCCAATCAATCTAACTCAGTATCTAAGGCTAGGTTCACACCTATGCAGGTTGCATTTGAGCCATTTCTGCATTGCATTTTACACCTGCATTTTTAATGCGTTTTGTTTTTTTTTGTTTTTTTCATTTTTATTTTCTTGTTGCTAGGCAGATTTAAAACACAGCAAAAATGCAGCAAAAATGCAATAGATGCTATTCTGCAGCATTTCCATTGAAGTTTATAGAAACAAAACCGCATCTTTTTGAAAAAAGTCATTGACCCTTTCAAAATAACGTACCGGGTGAAAACGCATAGATGTCAACCTGTCCCATAGGAAATCACGTTAAATGGACTGTACTGCATTTCTGCAAAACGCTGCAGAGAACGCTTAGGTGTGAACCTAGGGTAACTCAACCCACTAGGTTATTTTAAAATGAAAAAATAACTTTTTTTTGTGGACCAACCCTTGAACCATGTTTTTTTTTAAAAAAAAAAAACAGATTAGCCCTTTTTCCCCATAGGACATTAACATAGTGTTTTGTTTCTGAAACAGACGTCTCCATTTCCTAAAAGCAATTCACTATTTTAAATCAAACTTTTGACTTGTTTTTGTTCATTGCAGATTTAGATGACAAACTTGCATTGTCCAAGTTATCCTTGGTGTTTTGTTAACAGATGAATATCCCATATAGCATTAGTCTATTTGTTAATTTAGATGTTTACATAGCTATGTCATTAGAAACTATGAGAGTGTTTTGGTTATGGTAAAACTTCTTTTAATCGGATGTCCATTTGTAGAAACTTTGAAGTCAGCACAAAAAGGGAATGCAACATTGTATACCACTTGTCTCCACTAGATGGTGCGTCAGAGTACCATCTGGTTTGCTCATCTACTGAGTGCTGTCTACAAATAAAAAAAAGGTAGATTTTAAATAGGTAGATCCAGTGTTTAATAGTGTCCAATTTACCATTTCAAGACTGTCCACAGTAGATCTGAGGCATGGGTAGTGCAAATTTGGTAAAATTCCATATGCCCTGTTCAGGGATGGACTGACAACTCATGGAATGAAATGAAGAAGAAGAAGAAGAAGAATGAAAAGAAGAAGAAGAAGAATGAAAAGAAGAAGAAGAAGAAGAATGAAAAGAAGAAGAAGAAGAATGAAAAGAAGAAGAAGAAGAAGAAGAAGAAGAATGAAAAGAAGAAGAAGAAGCAGAAGAATGAAAAGAAGAAGAAGAAGAATGAAAAGAAGAATGAAAAGAAGAATGAGAAGAATGAAAAGAAGAATGAAAAGAAGAATGAAAAGAAGAATGAGAAGAAGAATGAGAAGAATGAAAAGAAGAATGAGAAGAATGAAAAGAAGAATGAGAAGAATGAAAAGAAGAAGAATAAGAATGAAAAGAAGCAGAAGAATGAAAAGAAGAATGAAAAGAAGAAGAAGAAGAATGAAAAGTAGAAGAAGAAGCAGAAGAATGAAAAGAAGAAGAAGAAGAAGAAGAAGAAGAAGAAGAAGAATGAAAAGAAGAAGAAGAAGAAGAAGAATGAAAAGAAGAAGAAGAATGAAAAGAAGAAGAAGAATGAAAAGAAGAAGAAGCAGAAGAATGAAAAGAAGAATGAAAAGAAGAATGAGAAGAATGAAAAGAAGAATGAAAAGAAGAATGAGAAGAAGAAGCAGAAGAATGAAAAGAAGAAGAAGAATGAAAAGATGAAAAGAAGAAGAAGAATAATGAAAAGTAGAAGAAGAAGAATGAAAAGAAGCAGAAGAATGAAAAGAAGAATGAAAAGTAGAAGAAGAAGAATGAAAAGAAGAAGAAGAAGAAGAAGAAGAATGAAAAGAAGAATGAAAAGAAGAAGAATGAAAAGAAGAATGAAAAGAAGAAGAAGAATGAAAAGAAGAAGAAGAAGAATGAAAAGAAGAATGAAAAGAAGAAGAAGAAGAAGAAGAAGAATGAAAAGAAGAAGAAGAAGAAGAAGAAGAAGAATGAAAAGAAGAAGAATAAGAAGAATGAAAAGAAGAATGAAAAGAAGAATGAAAAGAAGAAGAATGAAAAGAAGAATGAAAAGAAGAATGAGAAGAATGAAAAGAAGAAAGAAGAATGAAAAGAAGAATGAGAAGAATAATGAGAAGAATGAAAAGAAGAAGAAGAATGAAAAGATGAAAAGAAGAAGAAGAAGAATGAAAAGAAGAAGAATGAAAAGAAGAATGAAAAGAAGAATGAGAAGAATGAAAAGAAGAATGAGAATGAAAAGAAGAATGAAAAGAAGAAGAAGAAGAAGAATGAAAAGAAGAAGAATGAAAAGAAGAAGAAGAAGAAGAAGAATGAAAAGAAGAATGAGAAGAATGAAAGAAGAAGAATGAAAAGAAGAATGAAAAGAAGAAGAAGAAGAATGAAAAGAAGAAGAAGAAGAATGAAAAGAAGAAGAAGAAGAATGAAAAGAAGAATGAAAAGAAGAAGAAGAATGAAAAGAAGAAGAAGAATGAAAAGAAGAATGAAAAGAAGAATGAAAAGAAGAATGAAAAGAAGAATGAAAAGAAGAATGAGAAGAAGAATGAGAAGAATGAAAAGAAGAATGAGAAGAAGAATGAAAGAAGAATGAAAAGAAGAATGAGAAGAAGAATGAGAAGAAGAATGAAAAGAAGAATGAAAAGAAAGAATGAAAAGAAGAAGTATTCCAGTACAGCAAAAAGTGTATCTGCAGAGAGCTCCGCTATTTCTGACAGTTCTCTGACAGTTCCTTCACATTTACAGCGGTTGAAACATTTGTATCTGTTTCCGAATAAAAACATCTGTATCCTAAATGGTAACAAATAGATACAATGTTTCAACCGCTGTAAATGTGAAGGAACTGTCAGAGAACTGTCAGAAATAGCGGAGCTCTCTGCAGGGACACTTTTTGCCGGCTGATCGGGAAAAATCCGATTCGCGCACTCCCGAAGTTGGCTAATATTCGGATTCGGCACGAATCAAATTTTTCCTGAAATTCGAAACGAATTCCACTTCGCCTGGTTCGATTCGCTCATCTCTAGGTGAAAGCATACAAATTCTTTAAAATTGCAGGTTTGGGGGATGCCTTAAAGCTCTACATGGTGATAAAGAATAGTAAATAAGAATGGCTTAACCTCCCTAGCGGTCTGATGATGTCCGTATTTCTGTGCTCAAAGTGGTAAAGTTTTTTTTGCATGGAAATATGTATTTTTTTTTATTGTGCAGATATAAGAAGCGCCACAGAAAATGCAAAATAAATCAAATAAGCAGCACCTCTAACCAAAAAAGGTAAAATAGTGTACAAATAAAAAGTGCGCTAATTATTCACAAAACATGCAAGGATAAACAATAAAAATAAATGAATTCATAAATATAAACATAAGTCCAGCCACCATAACAGTGATAGTCCAATATCAACTTAATGTCAATCTTGAAAACAAACACCCATGTGCAAATCCGACACCAGATGAAATGAATACACTCACCAGAGCTATATGCTGATTATATTATAAACCAGCATGATAGCATTTTGCTCTGGGAGCGATGATCTGCAGGATATCCCAGTAGAGGAACAGCAACCAATAGTGATCCAATCAGCACATATGGAACAGCTAAGCAGCAAATGATCTTCCAATAACATGGGCAAAGCTCGAGGAATAAGAAGAGATATGATGGTGCAGTACGTTTAAAACCAGTAAAATTTTATTAAGTATTGCACTCACAAAGAAGGTGTCTAGCCGACACCAGCAATGACAGCCTCTAAAATGCCACACCCACAAGGGAAAAACCAAGGGATGAACCACCTGCACTGCGATCAAACAGCTTGGAGGAACGTTCCAACGTCACATCCACTAGGCCAGGCCCAACGCGTTCCGTCACTTGACGTCTTCAAGGGGCGGAGTCTTTTTTTATTGTAGGCCTGTAATTCTTAGGAATAACTCACTGAAATCTGTCCGAACAAGAGTCTAGTAAACATCCCAGGTATGATAAAATTTGAAACACGAAATCATAAATTATAATATAATAAATAATCATAAAAAATAATAATATAATAATAATAAATTTAATTCAATAATATAATCAAACCAAAAACACTGAAATTTTAAATAGAGCGCCAAGTTTCTCAGTTTCCAGGCAGAAAGAACAGTAAAAATGCAGGCAGGGCACAGGACAAAGCACTCGGGACAAAATATATGTGAAATGGTTTGATACAGTAATGGAATACTATGTGAATTTAGTGATTTTAGTGAATATCACTTTTTAAAATGTTTAAATTTCCCGCCAGTTCCGTCCCCCGTATGTCCAGACGCTCGCAGGGGACAGAACCCAGAAGACACATGACGGCATCGGCCGGAGGAGATGGCCGGGGACACTCCAGGAGGGACATCGCAGGAGCGCAGGACAAGGTAAGTGAAGAAGAGATCCTTGAGCAACGCTGCAGTGTATTCCTGAGTGTAGCTCGGGGTCACCGCTTTTGGCACTGATAATCAACCCCGAGCTACACTCGGGAATACCGCCAGGGAGGTTAAAGACAGATGTAGTACCCCAATGAACTAATATTTAAAACGTATTAATGAAAAAAAATATTTTTGGACTTAGGGCCAGCTCACACCACAAAAACACACTCCGGATGTGTTCCAGATGTGTTTTTGCTTACAGTTCACACCACACTCCGTTCCAGGGCATTTTTGATGCATTTTGCTGTGTTCCAATATGGTTGTGTGCAGAAAAAAATGCAGCATGTTTTACTTTTTTTTGTTTTAACTTTTTTTCTGCACTGGAACTGACTGCACTTGTGTGAACTAGGACAATTGGAATACATGGAAAACACTGCACATGCATTTTTATGCTGGTTAATGGCTGGTTCACACTAGATGCAGTCCAGTGTGTTTTTTTCTGCATCAAAAATGCATGCACAGTGTTTTCCAATTATTTATTTATTTCAGGTACTTATATAGTGCTGTCAATTTACGCAGTGCTTTACATATATATTGTACATTCACATCAGTCCCTAACCCTCAAGGGGTGTACAATCTAAGGTCCCTAACTTACATTCATACATACACATACTAGGGACAATTTAGACAGGAGCCAATTAACCTACCAGCATGTCTTTGGAGTGTGGGAGGAAACTGGAGTACCCAGAGGAAACCCACGCAGGCACAAGGACAGGGGCGGACTGACAACTCGTGGCAATAGGGGATCATGGTGGGCCCCTGTGTCCTTGGCCAAACTCAAAAAAGCCTATGAAACAGGTACCAGAGGCATCTCATGGGGCCCCCTACTGACCCCGGGCCCTCAGGCAGTGCCCAAGTTTCCAAGTGGTCAGTCTGCCCCTGCACAACATGCAAACTCCAGGCAGGTGGTGCCATGGTTGGGATTTGAACCAACGACTCTAGCACTGCCAGGCAGAAGTGCTAACCATTTAGCCACTGTGCTGCCCATGTATTCCAATGGCTCTGGTTCACACCAGTGCAGTCAGTTCTAGTCAGTTTCCAATGCAGAAAAAAAAATATTGTCTACGTACAACATCTATGTGTATTCTTCCTTGAATATTGGTGTTCTTTGTGTCTTTCTTTCAGATCTGTGCGGCAATCCAGTGTGAAAGCTTACCTCTGTGTAGGAGTTTCTTGGAATAAAGACCTGTCTCTGCTGCTCACTGCTGGGTGACTACTCTTGTTTCCGCCCACTCTTTTAGGGTCCCTCCCACAGTGTGATGATGTCACTACTACCTTACAAAGTAATATCTTGGTTCCTAAAGGCATTTGATGCACAAAAAAGTAATTTATATCCTTTTTGGCTATTGAGGAATATCTTTAACTACTTGACCTGCGGAAGGTTCAGCACAGTGCTACTTTAGCTGCTTGCGCATGCAACACTGAACCCTAATGAAATTAATATCATCTTTTTCACACGAACAGAGTATTCGTGGTGGCATTTGATCACCGCTTTTTTTTTTAGTTTTTTTATTATATAAGCGAAATAAAGACCGAACATTTTCAGCCCCCCGCCCCTCCAAAAAAACAAACAAACTATATTTTTTATATTTTCTGTTATATAATTTATATCCAATAAAATCAAATTTCGTCATAAATTTAGGCCAAAGTGTATTCTGTTACATGTCTTTGGTTAAAATAAAATCCTAATAAAGAGGCATGGGGGATAAGACACTGTAGGGGCCTAATGGTGCAAAGGATCAAGTAAGAAAGCCCCTAGACCTAAATGAGCAGTTACCCTTTGCAGTGTGGGCACAGCCCTACTACAATGGATCAATGTTCACATTTTCTTGAGTTTAGCATAAAAATAGCTTTAGTAAGTTGTGGAGAACAAGGCCAACCTAGGGTTGCCATCGCATCCCTTTAGAACCAAACACATATTAATTACACAAGTTTTGGGGCTGATTTAATGCAGATAAGGCACAACGTGGTGGTAAAAAAGGTGGTAATTACCACGTTGATCAGCCCCAGAACCTGTGTAATTAATATGTGTTCGGTTTCAAAGGTATGCGGTGGCAATCCTGGGCCAACCCCTGTTCACCACTCACAGGGCAGCCTGTATCCTCCTCGATTGCATGCAAACAGCCCGGTGCCTAGAGTCAGCTCTTGTTCCACTGTAGTCCACCATTCGAATAACAGGCCACGCACCGAAGATGTTTAACTCCAGCCAAGCCAGCCAGTTTATTGCAATGACAAAACACTGCTCACTCCCACCCAAAGTCATGCCCCATCATGTTTCACCCACGGCAGGACTTGATCATGGAGATCACATACATGCGTTATCGCTCATTTTACATGAACAACCCTAAAAGACCCTTTCATTTTGAATGGTCCGCCTTGCATCAGAGATGTCGCATGCCCCACTTCTCCCGACACACCACAACACACAGATTGTTCTCATTTGTCTGCTGTGTTGCGTTGTGTTAGTGCATTGGGGTGATGCACATTGCTACGTATTTGTGGTAACGCACGGTAAAATGTGCATATTATAATGCCTTATTTCTGCACTATGGCTAGGAAAAGGCATAAAATAGTGGAAAAATAAACATTTCTAAAGTTAATTAAGAAGATAAACAACTTCTTCATTGACTACTTATACATAGTTTTCACTTTAATCCCAAAAACCTGAGCGGCGACTTAAAGTCTGAACTGGGCCCATACAACCTGTCTGTCAAGGTGAAAGCTGAACAGGTGGCAGCATCTACGTCCTCCTATTTAGAATTATTATTCCGAGAATGGATTAGCTCCAGGCAGAGCTACATTCACAGATTAAATAAATGCTGTAGATGAGAACTGTTACTTACCAAAGGAATTGTATTTCTATCCATGCAGTCTCCTTTCACACTGTTTTTGCCCAATCTTTGGTGCCCATCCATATTTACAGGGAACTCTGATGGCAAGAGTGACTAAGTAATTAGCACTTCCACCTAGTAACACTAGGGTCGGTGGTTCAAATCCCAACCACGGCACCACCTGCCTGGAGTCTGCATGTTCTCCCTGTGTCTACATGGGTTTCCTTCAACACTCCAAAGACATGTTGGTAGGTTAATTGGCTCCTGTCTAAATCTACCCTAGTATGTGTATGTATGAATGTGAGTTAGGGACCTTATATTGTACGCTCCTTTAGGGTTAGTGATTGATGTGAATGTACAATATATACACCATATTGCCAAATGTATTGGGCCAATCACCTCCATGGCCTTAGGTGTATATAATCAAGCACCTAGGCATGCAGACTGCTTCTACAAACATTTGTGAAAGAATGAGTCGCTATCAGGAGCTCAGTGAATTCAAGCGTGGTACTGTGATAGGTTGTCACCTGTGCAATAAGTCCATCTGTGAAATTTCCTGGCTACTAAATATTCCACGGTCAACTGTTAGTGGTATTATAACAAAGTGGAAGCAACTGGGAACAGCAACTCAGCCACCAAGTGGTAGGCCACGTAACATGACAGAGCGGGGTCAGTACATGACAACTGTCCGCAGAGTCAATAGCTAAAAGCTTCCAAACTTCATGTGGCCTTCAGATTAGCACAACAACAGTGTGTAGAGAGCTTCATGGAATGGGTTTCCATGGCCGAGCAGCTGCATCCAAGCCTTACATCACCAAAGCATCGGATGCAGTGGTGTAAAGCATGCCGCCACTCGACTCTAGAGCAGTGGAAACATGTTCTCTGGACTCACCAATCACGCTTCTCTGCTTGGCAATCCAATGGACATGTCTGGGTTTGGTGGTTGCCTGGAGAATAGTACTTGTGTGACTGCATTGTGCCAAGTGTCAAGTTTGGTGGAGGGGAGATTATGGTGTATGGTTGTATGTCAGGGGTTGGGCTTGGCCCCTTAGTTCCAGTAAAGGGAACTCTTAAGGTGTTAGCATACCAAGACATTTTGGACAATTTTATATTCCTAACTTTGTGGGAAGAGTTTGGAGATGGCCCCTTCCTGTTCCAACATGACTGCACACCAGTGCACAAAGCAAGGTCCATAAAGACATGGATGAGCCAGTTTGGGGTGGAGGAACTTGACTGGCCTGCACAGAGTCCTGACCTCAACCCCATAGAACACCTTTGGGATGAATTAGAGCGGAGACTGCGAGCCAGGCCTCCTCCCCCGACATCATTGCCTGACCTCAAAAATGTGCTTCTGGAAGAATGGTCAAACCTTCCCATAGACACCCTCCTAAACCTTGTGGACGGCCTTCCCAGAAGAGTTGAAGCTGTTATAGCTGCAAAGGGCGGGGCCAACTCAATATTGAACCCTACTGGGATGCCATTAAATTTCATGTGTGTGTAAAGGCAGGCGTCCCAATGCTTTTGTTAATGTAATGTATGTAGAGCGCTGCATAAATTGATGGTGCTATATAAGTACCTGTAATAATAAGAATGCCAATTCAAATCTACTGTAGACACTTTCACCACTTGCTTGGAAAAATACATATAACAATCAGTTAATTTGTTTTTTCATTTTGATATTGGCATAACTCCTTTCAAGAGCCAGCCAAAGATGTTATGGGCCAGCCCAAGAAGAAGTTATTTACATCACCCTGATGGCCCCCTCTCATCATCCATATTTTGACTGCATTGCATAGAGAAGCACAGAGTCCTAGTAATGACTGCAGTGAGACTTAAAAAAAAAAAACCCTGTCAGAATGCAAACAATTGAGCATGCGTGAGCAGTACTCAATCCTTGGGTATTCGGAGCAAGGGAGTGGAGAATGGGCACAGGGCAGTACGGCTATTCTATGTCATGCTTTAGTAGCAGAGGGCACTTGCTTTCTAACAGTTTTTTGGGTTAGATGTGGCCAGCTGAGATGAACACTGGGTTTAATGGAGTATGATGTTACACCAGTAGCTGGCAAAGCAGACAAATTAGCAAGGTTTTTATTTCTAATAACTGGGAGATGGTCGTATGTCTACATCCTGGGCACCAACTGTCACGGATCCGTCAGCGATCACCCTGTCACGCGTCCCCCACACGCCACGCCCACAGCGACTAGCTAACCGAGCCACGCACATGCGGCCGCGACAGGGTGGTAAAGAGGGAGAATAAAGGGATTTACACTTGAATATTTCAAACCCTATATAAGATCAGCTGTGATACCTTTTCACAGCCCGCACTACCTCTGGCCACCACCGGATGGAGACTCCACTCCAATCCAGCTGGTCGACCACACACTGGCAGATACGATCTTACATACAACCTGGTGCCCTGATTAGACTTGAGGACCAGCTTAGTAATCACACACCCTTCTAAGGTCCCTTCAGCTATCCTAGCTTGAACCCCAGGGTTGATAACCCTTCCACTGTCCACACACCCCCACACCAGACGCACCACAAAGGTAGCCTGCCACCACCCAACAGTTTATCTGCAGAATGGTCTGTTGAGACACCCCACACACACAGATCTCTGTCTGGCCGATCTGTTACCTTTTACAATCTGCACACAATCTGCCCACACACAGAGCAATTGCATACAGATTGGCAATGAGCTTAACCGAGCGTTTTAAAGGCACTAAAATACAATACAATCTAATCTAATCTTTCCGATCTAATCTCTCCTATCTAGTGTCTCTCCGAAGATATGAGCACGTGCTTAAATACACAGAAGTTCACTAATTAATTTTAAGATTTAATTTCCCAAAGTGGGCAGTGCATAAAATATGTACAAATGTAAAAAGTTACAGAAATACAAAAGATATAAGAAGACACACAAATGACTAATTACTATAAAATAAAAAGGGAATAAAAAAACAGAATAACACTTTACCCTGCGGCTGGAGCAAGCCAGAAACTTAGCAATCCATTGGTCAATCAAACCAGCTCCGTATGGATCACAGATGTCCAAATATCCATGCGCTCAATTTAGTGGGATTTGGACTTGGGCGGGACGTTAGTCTTCAGCCAATTGACTCTGGGGAAGGTGGTCCTGACCT